TAGCAGCAGCAGTAGCAGCAGGAGTAGCAGCAGCAGTAGCAGCAGCAGCAGCAGCAGCAGTAGCAGCAGCAGTAGCAGCAGCAGCAGCAGCAGCAGTAGCGTAGCAGCAGTTGTAGTGCCGTCTGCGTAGTAGCAGTCGTCGTCGTAGTCGTAGTACTCGTAGTAAGTAGTCGTAGTAGCTGATGCCCATCACCCCCCATAACTCTAATCAGGCTAGCAATGATTCACGGGCGAGTGGCATCTCTAGCTCTGTGAACATCTTTGGCAGTTCACGTTCTCCATGTCGCCCCCAGGGGTCTGCATCACCGCCATGCACATACCTGAAGCAACAGAGAGGTCTACCAGTCCACCATGTCATAGATCGACATCGCAGTTTCGTAACTCCAATTTAACGCTTCAACCTTCCGGATGTGCCCCCAAGCACCTTTCACCTTTCAAACTAAGACGCATTGCGCACGAACACGGCTCAGGGATTTGAACCTCAAGCCTCTGGCGTCTGAGCTCTCCCCCCTCTCCGTTGTCGCCCAGAGGCGATAGTTCGCCTCGGCCCCGGCCGACCGCTCCCCCGCTTAGCCGGCAGGACTGGTGGATTTCGGGTTGGCGACCCCTATATACGTCAAGTGGGATCCGCCCCCCCCCCCCTTCCCTTGTCTCTTCCTTGCAGAAAGGCGGGCTGGCTTACATTTCGTGAAGCTGATGCCAAAGCCTTGGAATTCTGGGGCTGTGTCCTGTACTTCGTTGCAAAGCTTGGATTCCCCTTCCAACACATGGCAGGTTGTATACGAGACCCGTGAGAAGTGTGATACTATCATTATATCATATCAACCGTCTTTGGGACAATGCAGGGAATGTGCCACCTTTCGCGTAGGAATATTGCTCGGAGCCTCATCATGAAAACACACACTGACATTAAAACACATTCTGAAGCAGATGCTCGCACTCACTCAAGACCTCACCTGTGTGACCTACCCGCTGCTTTCCGAAACAATGCACCAGCTTCAAGTACAGCCGGGCGGAGGCGGACGACGCGAGACGTCTTGAAATAAGAATTTGGGCTGTGATATTGGGGGACGTGGATTAGTCTGATTAGTCCATCAGAGTCAGATTGAAAGGTGCTCACCCAGTTGCAGCGCCGGCGAAGCTAAAGGCTCCTGCAGGGCATAGCCTTGGCTCAGGCGCAGCTCGCAACTTCATCGTCAGGGAGGTCCAGCGCATGCACGGCCTAGGACGTGTTTTGGGCCAGCTGCGCGGGTCATCAATCATGGCCCCGCAGAAGAGAACCTGGTTGACAAAACGAACACCGTTGCACAAAGAAAAGCTGGCAATATGACGACGCTACATAAACACACTCAGCACCATGTCGGGTTGTCGAGCCGTGCAGTGCCTCCTCCGGATCGGTGAAAACATCTCGCAAGTCATCAGCTGACTTCAGGGTTCCGATTAAACCGCTCTGTAGCTTTAGCCCCAGACCTTCTTCTACCCATGTGAACGCCCATGCCAAGCCGCAGTGAGCTGCCACGGTATCGGTTTCTTGGCCTGGCAATTGAGAAATTTAGGGCTCGGGGATGGCCATTCTCGAAACCCCCCAATAGCCTGTGCAGATACTAAGCACCAAAACCCCAACCTGAACCTGAACTGCAAGCAAGTAAACCCCAAAGCGCGTGATTCCTTTCTTAAGCTTAGGCCCCACAGCCACAAAGCCTTAAACCCCAAGCCTCAAGCCAAGCCTTCCGCAGGATGTCCATCAACATGGCCACGAGCGTCCCGCTTTGTGAAAATGCCACCACTACGTCAATCGGAGCATTTGCTTTCACATACCTTAGGGCCGTAGGGACTGTCGCTTGTTGTACTTCAGCCATGACCTGAAAAAAGGTTGACAGCCACCCGGGATAGGAGCCGCAGTGCTAATCGAAATTTCCAAAGTCTACTGCAACACCCATAAATTGCACTGATACACACATCGCGAAAATAGTCTCTTGCAGTACTATTCCATAAAAACATGCAGAGGTTGGTTTGAGGAACTCGTCCAGGAATCGCACGCCCTCGTCCACATTCTCGTATTCAACACCGTCGAAATCCAGTTCCTGTCCCTTGCCTGTCATCAACTCCTGCACGCAACCGAGGAATCGTTGCAGCACGCATCCATGGCAGCAGAATGTAGACTGGCCTTCACATGCGACCATCGAAAGCAAAAGAGTGAGGTTGCTGCATCTTCACGTCACAGACGTACACCGGAGAAGACTGGGGGTTCCGAGAAACCAGCCAACCCGGCCCTGACCCCAGAAAAGGGACACCTCACCGACCTGTCACTTGAGCTCTGGACTGGGACAGAAGCTTTTCAGCACGACGTCGTTGTGCGTGAACCCACTGTTCTCTGACAATATGGTGACAAACCCTTCCGTCACTTTGCTGCCGCGTCCTCTAGAGGAAGCTCAGGATGTGAATACCACTGGACGAAAGGCTTGTCCTCAGTCTATGTCTGCCACATTCTGCCACAGTTTGCATGCGTTCAGCTTTTTCTGGTTGCATGGACAGCCTGCGAATGATCTGAGCACAAACTGATGCACCTTTCAAGCAGCACAGATGCTACCAAACTGTATATGCTCGTACGAGAGTCTTTGGCGATTGCCTTTTCCACTGAGGTGCCTCAGAGCATGGCAATCGAACAGAAGTTATCCGTTTGGAGAGTTCGCCAGAGCTCCGAAACAAGAGCAACAATAAGAGCAACACTATCAGTCAAACTCAGCAAATATCATGTTCGTTCACCCCTGCAAGGAGGAAACGCAAAACCAAACCATCCCAACGGATGGTCGTTATCTGCATCGTGACTGACTCAAGGCAGCACGCCTTATTAAGCTCTTAGTTATCACTAAACCACAATGCTAGTCAGGTGGCGCTCTGCCAGGTTCATGACCTTGGAACCTGGCAGCGGTTTCCAGGCGCAGGGCCCGTCGAGAAACAGCCACTCGAAGTCCTGTGCAGAAGAGCGGGGCGCACCTGGGTGCTTCAGGAAACGAGGATGTGCTTGTCGTGTCTGTGGCCTCGGTTTAGTACGGTGAGCTGCCAAGCGATCCAAACTCCCTGACACTAAAAGGTGCCAACAGCACTGCTGGCAGGCGGTCCTCACCAGCCAGCTTCCGCAGCTGGACTGTCTGGAACTTCCTCAGATCTAAGCGGGAGCCCATCCTGTCTAACATTAGTGTATATGACTGATGCACGGTCTCTGACAAGGAGCATGATGTTGGAGTTGCTGGGAGCGCCGTGCAGCGCTAGCACTCGCGGCTTCCTCTTCTCTTCCCTCCGTTTGACCATGGCCTTGTCCTTCGGCTACCCCCCCCCATTTAATTCACAGCCAAAACTGGGCTGCATGTCAGGTCCCGTCCTTGACCTTCAGGCTCACCCAACCCACCTCGGGCCCGGAGCCACTCCTTGGAGCTAGGACGAGGAGGGAATCCAAGCACCTGGCTTTACCTCACCTGCTGCACTGAGAGCACCGAGCATCAGCCTGAAGTATCTCATGCGCTCGCCGTGCATCTCCTTCTCCAGGATGAGCGCGCCTGGACAGAGCGCTGCACCTCTGATCGACGGTTGACAATGCGCGGGGCGCTCTGCTCTCATCCGAGCACCTCATATTTGCAGAATTTGCTACCTATCTGTCTGTCTATCTACCTACTTATGAACCCAGCTAGTTACCTATCGACCTACCAATCCATCGATCTATCTACCTAATATATATGATATATATATATGTACATGTATGCATGTGCACATGTCCTTTATACAGTGAAAACTTATATGTATACATATATATATATACACATAGACAGATTTGTACAGATTTATTTACTTATTTATTTACTGGCGGACACCCTAGGCCCCTTAGCCCCAAACCCCATACCAAACTCTGAAGCCAGCAGATGCTGCGCACAGAGGGCCTGTCGAAAGACGGCTGCTCTCCTGCTCTGAGGTGAGCTCTTTGCCTCGTCGCGGCTTTGAGGTTTAGGGCTCAGGGCTCCATGTAAAGGCCTCGGTTTCCAATAGCAGATGTTGGGACTTAGCATGGCATAACTATACAATGCTGAATACAAAGCGAAACATGGCGAGAACAACAGGAACATGGCGGATGCAGATTCAGAAGATAGGGGACCCGAATATGAGCATCAGGAGGAGGACCATATTACCAGTATCGCAAGACTGGACCCGAGCTTTCCTGAAACTCCCATGTCGGCTTTCAATTGTAGAAAAGCCGATGCACCAACACTGAACAAAAAGCAGTCATATTCGAGTAAGGCTTGCCCACCTGCCTTGTCTCACAAGGATGCCACCCTTGTCTGCGCCCCCCACGACCTGCTGCATTTCTGAAAGACAGAGGCATAGCCATAGCAGGAAGGCAGCACGCGGGCTGTTCCAAGTCTCCGTTTCAGCAATTTCAAGGGTGCTTAAGTAATTACACTACGCTGACAACAACTCATCTGAAACACTTTAAGCAGTAAGCCGTGCGGTGCATCGGGCCAAGTGCCTCCCAAATTGGCGGCATCTACTCCAGGCTGGCCGATGGCAGCTCGGGCAGGCTACTGACCCAATTGGGCTTCACTTCCAGGATTTCGGGGTTCAGGTCAAACATGTTTTCTACACGGTTTGAGCACATTGCTGTTAAAACTTACTTATGATGTTGCGGGAGCGACTAGGTCGTCTTATGGCAAAAGCTGCGAAGTCAGTAGTTGTTGCCTGCAGCTCTTTGCGGGTTCCTATCGCAAAGCCTGTGTCGACATGGAAGCTTCGGGAGCTGAACCCAGCGCAAGCCCCCCTAGTAGCCAATCACTAGCTATCTCTGGCGGACTTCTCTGCAGCTGCATAGTTCGGAGCACAGACATGATTTGATGGCAGAAGCTGCAGTGACAGACAGATGCCACATGAAAGCACCGCGGCCAACAGAAAGGATGGCTCTGGCTCTGGTACCTGATTCTCACTGACATCACCTGGATGAGAATCAAGGAGAATCAGTCCTGTACGTAGCCTTCCTCTGGGCCAACGTAGACCTGGCAAGAGAACTGTGAGACTCCAGCTTTTGCTACTGATTTCCATATCGGATGGAATTCACCGGAGTTAGTCCGCTGTGTGTAAAAACTGATAGTTCCAAACTACTAGGGATGTGCACTCACAGCGCCTGGAAAATGCTACGAGCAATTCTATGGGTGGTGGAACAACTTGACGGGCGAACCATGTTCTCGTAATGGGTCACAGTCACGCCGAGCTCAGCGGAGTACTTCTTGCCCGTCTCCTGCGCGAGGGGGACCGGCAACAAGTGCAACAAGTTTTGTCAGGTACATGCCGACCTGCCCGCATACACACACACACACAGACAGAGAGACACACACACACACATACAGACACACACACACACGCACGTACATTCCTCATGTTTGTATCTTGTCCTGCGCATCGTAAGCTCCGTAGAAGTCTTCTCCGTCAATGGTGCTCTTGGTGCCTGCTCCAATGACAGGCAATCTCTGGCCTTCAAGATGAAGTTTAATGTATAGGGGCCTTAATAATTGGAATAGGTTTATTTTTTTTGGGGGGGGGGCTCCTTNNTTGGAAATTATTAAGGCCCCTACATTACCCAAGAGATCCACCTGCTGCATTCAAGGATGCTGGAGTTCGGCTGAGGCCCCTGCCAGCCATGTCACGTCCGATGATGAAATGGGTGGCTCCGTAGTTCCTTGAAGCTGCACATGCATCTAATTACCATATATTGTGGGGATTCCTTAGTATAACTATAGTATATAATGGGCCCCCAAAACCCTATTCTAATCATTAAGGCGAGAAAATCTTACCGAATCTTGCGCTGCGACGACAGAAGCGGATTGCTCTGAGGGCTCCAGCAGAATGGCGTTCGCTCACTGGAGGCTGGGTGACCATCAAATGCACCACCCATTTGGGAATTGTGATTAGGATCCTACTATTAAGGGTACTATATTAGGGGCCCCTATTTTCGGAAACCCCCAATTTCCCAAAACCTGAACCAAGGACCCCCTTGCCTAGTTTTAAGCTGTGGCACCAAGATAGATCTAGCGAGTGTGATCAGGACCTTCCCACGTGTTGTTTGCTTAGATTGCGGGGTATGGTAGGTATCCTCGAACTCATAGACCCTCAAAGCTGCAACCCTCCACTCATAAACACCATGAGCCGAAATCCCATAACTTTGGACCGCAAGTGCTGGATCCCACACGAAACACACTCAAAGGCCGCCGCTTCCGAATGATCATGTGCTGGATTGCCTCACGAGGACCCGCCTCAGAGATTGCCGTGGCACGAGCGGCGTGGGCGACACCATGCACTTACCGTCAGCGAAATGGCAGTCAAGACTACGAAACAAAGCAAGAGCCGGCAAACAGCGTGCGTCGGAGTCTGAGCTTTCCGTCGAAGGTTAGCTCAACTCCTAAGAGGGGCCTTGCCCCCAGGCTGGGGTCTCAACCATCTTCATGCTGTAAGGCCTCAGCAAGTGGTAACTGACTTGCAAAATATGGCGCTTGCGATTTAAAGCTCATCAGGTCCTTGGGTTAAGGCTTTCCTCTCTGCCTTGCACAGTATCGCAGGACACTGGCTGCAGTCAGGAGGCAGGTAGGCCCATCTGAACATTGGGTACTCCTTCTCGGTCTCCGTCTTCAGTGCCTGAAAAGTCTCGTACACTGAAGGCCTCTCACAGTCCTTCATATGAAATGATGTGCCCGGGCGCGATGCTCCAAACCCAGGCAGCAAGAGTCGAGTACCAGGGTTGCAAGTGCTGGTTGACTCGGAATTCCGATATGAGTAATTAAAGACGTACATAATTACAGTTATTTATGTACCTCACAGGCCTCATAGGTCTGGATTCGCACCAGGCCGTCGATGTCACCCGGCTGGGTGGGGCCACAGGTGGGGTGCACCAGCCTTGCCACGGGACACGCCCTAAACCTTCGGCTTCTTATTCTCCGCAGCGCGTCTTGCCAAGGTCTGGGCAGAATGGAGTCCTTCACGTCCTTCTGAGCCTCGTTGATTTGCAATTGAACCACCAGTCCGAGACAGAATGGAGGCTCTTCGACATGAAGGGTCGTCAAGTTTAGTACCACTTGCCGTGCATCTCCCGGGGAGACATTCTTGCCAACCCCTGAAAACCCCCGCAAGGGCGATCAAATGCACTTCGACCAAGCACTTCGCACACACCAACAGCTCGAAGTGGGCACGGTGGATCGGGTTGCGATTCTGGAACGCGACCTGAGCACACAGGTGACGGATCCGACCATAATCATCACAATGTTGCCACGATTTCCACTGCTTCTATCTCGTAGGTAATACTTTCAACCATCGCCTTAGACTGGGTTGGTAGCAGCTGTTTATCGCTGCAGTGGGTGGTGGTCGCTTCGGTAGTAGTGGCGGCGGTGGTGTCGGAGTTTCTCGGGACTTCTGACCACTTGATGACAAACATTTGTTCGTGCTTGGAGCTGGAAGCACCACTTAGCCATCACGCAGCTCAGCTCAGATCCTACAAACTGCCGCTGGCATCTACCAGAACAGGCTTTGCCAAAAAGCAAGCGAAGATACACTGGGCTAGCGAGACCAAGAGGGCCTAGTCGTAGCAGCGGGAGCAGCACGAGTAGGAGTAGCAGTAGCAGTACTAGAAGCAGTAACACAGCAGGAGCAGGAGTAGGAGCAAGAGTAGGAGTAGGGAGGAGGAGAAGGACCAGCAGCAGCATCAGTAACAACAGCAGTAGCAGCAGCAGTAGTCGTCGTAGTAGTAGGAGGAGGAGGAGGAAGAGTGGAAGTGGGCGTGGCAGTGGGAGTAGAAGTGGCATTGGCTCGTCATGTCCCTGAGCTGCTCGCGACCTGCTTGTTCTCCGGCAATGTGGCACGCACCTGAAGCAAAAGCTTGAAAAACAAGAGGTAGTCTAATAAGGGTAATATTATAATAATCAGGCTACACGTTGAGGGTGACAACAATCGTTACTATAGAAGCGCCATAATCCACGGGTTACTACAGGAAATCAGCGTAGGCTCGATGGGCCTATGTAGCATAATTACCTACATTGGCACTTCCAGTCTGACCATAGATCAGATTGGTCAATATGCTTGGTAAGGTACTTCAGGCACTGTTTGGGAGTGCCCGCACACTGGAAGAGCCACCTCCTCAGGTGAGCTTTGCTTTGCCAAGTTCATAAAACCTAAACCCCCGCAACCCCCGAACCTAAAAACCCTGAAGTCAGAAACCCTGAACCCCCTCAACCTAAAACCCCTGAAGCCAGAAACCCTGAAACCCCTAACCCCACCCCAAAACCCGTCAACCCCAGCAGTGAGACAGGCGAGACAGGAAATGCAAAGTCACTCCGAAGGCGAGGCAGTGAGGGCAGGGCTGAGGCCCGAGGGTGTTAGTCAGAAAAATACGAAGAATTAATAATAAGGAATAGGGGTTTAGGGTTTAGGGTGATATGAATCCTGCATTACCCATAAGAAGGAATAGACCATAATTCACCATAGTTTGGGGTCCTTAAGGTAATGCAGGATTTAGACCATCAACAGTAGTAACAATTAACAAGAATAATACTTATCCTATTAGTCGTAGTAACCGTCTAGTACAATAAAATTTACAGCAACGACATAACAATGACAATCACATAGAACAGTGAATGTCGAATATTTCTCATTACCATACTAGCCAACAGACTAATGACTAATGCTTGCAGACAGTAGCCATAACGTTGCTAATCCATCGAAAGGCGTGGTGTGGTGGCAAAAACAGCTGCACACGAATCAATGCGAACTGACACGGGTATCTTGATAAATCGAAGTGGGCCTGCGAGCTTTTGTGCAAACCCTACACTCGAACACAAAAACAAAAAAGACAACAGGCCTAGACCTAGAGGCTGCTTGCCAAACTGCTGCTCTCCTGAATCCCCAACCTACCTTCAAGCCCGAAGAACCGAAAAAAATGCCACTGCCTCCGAGCAAGTCAAGCCTAGGTTCTCAGCATCTCAGGCGTGTAAGTTCACGGTTTCAGGGGCGGTTTAGGGTTTAGGGGTTTAGGGGTTTAGGGGATAGGGGCTCACATTCGACTCTCACCGAAGCCCCCAAAGCCAGACTCAGAAGAAACTACGCTTGACAAACCCTAAACCCTAGACCCGAAACCCCTTTCTTTGAGCACCCTTATCGAGCACTTCACGGTGGCCTCGGCAGGAGTCTGAGTGGTGTATCCAAACTTGGGCAGCTCGAAGCCGTGCATCCTCCCAAGCTCAGAAGTTGTCCAAACCGACGGCCACTCGTCATGAAGTTCTTAACTAAGTCTTATGGAAGCATTGTTGTTTCTCTGATGAATAATATTAAACTCATATGAGTAAGAGTAAGATTACGGCTTACGGCTCGTTTCAGCAGGTAAGCGTGGCGCCGTTTCAGATAGCTTTGGAGACGTTCTTCCTGTTGAAGGATTTAGGTTGGTTTTTGGCTTCGGGCTCGAGACCGGAGCCTGCTGAATGACAACTCCGACCCCTTTGGGACTTTCTGAAAGTTAGGGTACCTTGATTTGGGGTCCTTATAATAAGGATCCTACTCTTTAGGGTACTATATTGGGGTCCTCTATTTTCGGAAACCCCCATATCATCTCTTCGTGAGAAGCCAGGCGACAAACGATTCCTGCTTGTCTAGGGGTTTAGCACTGCTGAAGGGTCGAGGTACCGGCCACCACACTTTCAGATTCAGCCAATGACAGTCTAGTGAGTCTAGTGCCATTCTTCAGATCCACAGTCATGATTTCGACTGGCACCGGCAGCTGTTTCTGCTGTTGACATTATCTTGATTCTTTTGTCGTGAAGATGACCGACATCTTGGAAAAGAGCCTTACGCAAACTCGCACCGCGGCTGCAGCAACGCACACACACACATGCACATCCCCTTCCAATTCGCGTGTTGCTTGCTGTCCTGCCGCCGATGTAGTACTTTCCTCAGCGGCTGGTGGAAAGCCAAACCCAGTTTGAAAAGTGGTTACTGTAGCGCACGCAGGGATCTGATAAGAACACTTATGATACCCCTTTGGCTACTATCTCTTCTGATGCCTGAGCTGGTAATCCAAGTTGGTTCTCAGGATCTCGCCAATCTCCTGCACCAAAGATGCCACAGTCGGGTGCTCCAGGCCTGCGAGATTTGAGAGGCTGTGCCAAGTTTCGGAGATGAACTGCTGACTGCAACGGACACATTTGCACAACCTGAGTCGCGGAAATCTTTTGTTGTTCGAGAGATGGACCGGGAAAATAGCACAGGCTGGTCACAGAGCTGAGGACCAAGCTGCTGGTACCGTAGCACTCCTTTGCTTCCACCACCTGCGAGCAGCAAAAGCACGGGACTCACGCGTGAGAGACTAGCTGATGGCTATCCCCAAACCACCTTGGCGAGATACCGCTGTTCCTGTTGCTACAGCCCGGGCACAGCAATGAATACCCCAGTCCAGGCGGAATGAAATCATGGCATCCCGGGTGGAGGACACGTGGAGGAGTTTTGGAAATGTCTTCTGTGCGAGCAACATAGAGTGCGAGGACGTTCGCAAGGGCGCTGTGGTACCCTGCTGACTACTACCCCTACAGTAGTGCAAATATCACTATGGATTGCTACTATGCGTAATACCTTTTCCGGCCGTTCATGCGTTCCCTATCCAGTGCTGTTTCTAAATCTCATCAGTAGTAGGGGTGAGTATCCCAAAAGACAAGCTTGAAGACAGGACCAAGGGTTCGGCTGGCCTTGTTGGGCTTCCAGATGGACGAGGCCTGGCAACTGGGCATTGCGAAGTCTTCCCGGCGCTCCAGGGCTTGGCCAGGGTTGAGGATCAGGCGAAGCAGATATAATATAACAGAGCAGACTATAGTATAATACAGTAGAATATAGAATAACATAATATAATATCATAGATTTCGGGCCTCAAGCACGGCAACATCCTGTCCCTTCCACTTCAGCAGCCTCGCAAGCTGGATGCCAAAAGCCACATTCAGGACCCAGCATGCGTAACGTGCACGTCCGCTGAGGGCACAGCAGCTTGTCACCCTTGTTGATGCCATCAACCTATCAGTCTCAAATCTGCAGAATTATGCGCTGACTGCACCACGGTCTGGCCCCACACATCCTGGAGTGCAACATGACTTAGACACGCTTGGAACACAGGTGCCCGCACATCTAGATCCATCATTTATCTATCGATCTACGTACCTACCTACTACCTACCTACCTACCTACCTACCTACCTACCTACCTACCTACCTACCTACCTACCTACCACTTGCTACAGCGATGGTCATTGCTGTTAGTTGTGACTGCGAATAGAAGTTGTAAGTACGAAATTGCTTCGATTTCCGGATCACATATTCTGCCTACCCGGGTCCTGCTGCCATACGGGACCGTAGGATCTTTAGTATACGGCCTCCAAACAAAGGCAACAAATAGAACCCCAAAAAGCAGGATCCCGATTCTACAAACTCCATCCAAGGCAAACAGAACTCCAACTAGTAGGGCACCTACTGTTGATGACAGAAATCCTGCATTACCTGAACGACCCTAAACTATGGGGAATTATGGTATATTCCTTATTATGGGTAATGCAGGATATATTTATATATATATATATCATCATCATCATCATCATCAACCGTAGTAACACTTATTTCGCCTAAACCCTAAACCCTAAACCCAAAACCCTAATCCCTAAACCCTAAACCCCTAAACCCTAAAGCCCACAAGCCTAAACCCTAAACCCTCGGACCATGGGTGCCAAAAGGCCTCCGGCAAATCGAAGGTCACCGGGAGGCCAAAGAGCTGCTTCTCGGGCAGACGCATGTCCTGGCGCTGGAGATAAGCGACTTGGAGGTTCATGGGTAGTTATGAGGCTCCTTTAAGGGATCTATAAGGGATCCTATAAGGGGGTGTAAGGGGTCATACTTGGAGGTTCATGGGTAGTTATAAGTAGGGTTATAAGTAGGGTAGCTAAAGTTGTAACCTATATTGGGGGTTTAGGGATTAGGGTTTAGGGATTAGGGCTTAGGGCTTTTCGGGATTAGGGTTTAGGGTTTTAGGGTTTTGGGTTTTAGGGTTTAGGGATTAGGGCTTAGGGCTTTTAGGGTTTTAGGGTTTAGGGTTCAGGGTTCAGGGTTTTAGGGTTTAGGGACTAGAGGGTTTTAGGGCTTAGGGCTTTTAGGGTTTAGGGTTTAGGGATTAGGGCTTGGGGTGCGGGACATAAACTAGACAGATACGCACTATTATATGTACACTCACCCACCCCTGCGTGTAGTGTGTATCGATCGATCGGTCGGTCGATACATACTTTAATGAACATAGTGCATGTAGACCGACAGAAAATAACCCACTGTTTAGTCGAACGCAAGGCATACTAGGACTAGGAAAATGCAGGTGAAATCCGATGCTGGCCGCCTTCACGACCGAGTTGTAGGCGCTCTCCTCCTGTAATTTCCCACGACAGGGCGAGGCAAAAGCGCAAGTCACGGAGCACCTGAAGCCTTAAACCCTAAAGCCCCAGCTCTACCATCCCTGATATCCCACCATGAAGCCGGTGAGGGGGCTGAAGGCGCCGCTGAGCAGGCAGAACACGTCGCAGGCCTGAGAAAAATGTTTAGGGTTTAGGGTTTAGGAAAAGCTTGGGCTGGTATCGGGATTCAGGCCTGACGCTCGTTCAGCTCGATGGTCTTCACTGCGCTGGCAGTGAGGCTCTTGATGTCGGCCGGATCCTCGATGGCGATGCTGCAGCTTGCGTTAACTCCGAGACTTTGGACATGCTTCCGACCGAGCCTTGACCATGAGGTCCACCAGAGATCCACCATGAGGTGCGCCGGCGAAGGTGGTACGAGTGTGGATGCCTGCCCCCCTCTCTGTACAATCCTCATACCCCTTTCCATTCCTGCTGCTCGTCCAAGTGTTGTCATCACTCATCACTCTCAGCAGCTGACTTTGCCCTTCTGGGGCTGCTGCCGCACTCTGTCTTCGCCTGTCGCACGAATCGGCCAGCACGCTCAGACTCGTGGGGCTCCACCTGGCCAGCTGTTATGTTGGGACTCTGGGTATTGCCAAGATTGGGTTAGCATCTACAGAATCTACAGTTTTGCCTCTAGGACAACGGGCAAAACAGGATGCCCCTATGACTTATGACTGTCAATTTTCGGGCTGAAGATGGCTGCAGCTTACGACTGTTTCGCACTGGAAGCGTCCCGCCGCAAGCCAGCAAAGATGAAATTCTCTGCATGTGTCAACCAAAGACCTGGGCTCTTGCCACGCCCAGCAAACATGGCAAAGGCTGCCGGGACCGTTGTGTGCATGTCGCCTCGGTTTCACCAGCAGCCAGGTCGCGCCAAAACAATCACCCCGAACACCCTTCCACTTCTGCTAAAATTACTGCGACGTCTGCAAGACCGCGCATAGCCCGAGAGGACGCTTTGGAATTTGGCTGCAGTTCTGTAGTATGATTCACTGAAACTACCGCTTGTTGCAATGAGCGGGAGAAGGACCTGGAGCTGAGCGCAAGACCGAAGGACTTGAAGACGTAAGTGATAGCCTCAGCTTGTGCAAGGTGAAAGTTGGTTTCAGCGAGTGGTGGCTTGCTTTGAGCGACTATCAGCACGGTTTGGATTCGTCAGAAGGCCTCAAGGACTCCCGAAAGTCTCAGCATGCACGAAGATAACCCCCAGTGCCCCAAACCACGAAGCAAAAACATCGACCGTCGCCAAGAAAACCCTAAACCCTCGAACCGTAAGTCCTAAACCCTGTTCCTAGATATTCCTAGATGTTCCTAGAACCCTTTAACCATTGAACCCTCAACCCCTTTGCAGCCGAAACACTAAAGTCACTACAGCCCTTAGAGTTCAGGATCCCGCATGTCAGGACTCTTATGCGAAACTAGACTTTTCTCGACAGCACATCTAAAACCATCATTTACCATCCTACACGGAACCCTCCAGCCTTCTGAAGCCACAAATACCTACCTCCACCCACCCTTGAAGGCCTCTCTGAAGCTCGGCCCACCTCCCTGAACCCTAAACCCAAAACCCTTTAAACCCTACCCCCCTAAACCCTTTAAGCCCTAAACCCTAAACCCTACAACACCCTAAACCCTAAACCCTACACCCTAAACCCTAAACCCTAAACCCTACACCCTAAACCCGAACCCTCTGAGACACTGGCAGCTTTCGGGTCTCCCTTGATCTCGGCCTCTAAGAGAGTCCCGTTTCGGGGTCCAGGAGGTCTAGGGTTTAGGGTTTAGGGGTTTAGGGGTTTAGGGTTTATAGGGTTTAGGGTTCAGGGTTTAGGGTTTTAGGGTTTTAGGGTTTAGGGGGTTAGATAATTCTCACTAACTTCTACCGGCGCCGCGAAGGGCGTAGCGACTTCTGGCTGGTGTCCGGGTATCTTGCTAGGTGCGTATAGCACGGAGACTACTGGTTTTGGCTTGGGGCCTGAGAGCTCTTATTCCGAACCTACGGATCCTACCATTTGGGATCTACATTATTCCGGGCCCCTTGCTTTCTGAAACCCTAGTACTCATGCTCGCTTTACATTTTTTGCTGCCGATCGTGGCGGTAGCAGCGGAGAGATGAGGATGTGCTGACGGACTTCAAAACTGACGCCCCCAACTTAAACTCCCAAACCCCCTGAACCCCTTCTGAACCATAGACCACCACGTGCAAGGAAGCTGCCTCGGTGCAGCGCCAGAATGGCTTTCCAAGGTCAACCTGAGTCCACGAGGCGGGCGGTCTCAAGAACAAGGTTGCAACAAGGCCGCCTAGGGCCATGGAGACTACGTACAGATATAGATATTTAACTATATAGGTAGATGGAAGAATACTCAACAGCACTGCCACATATATACATATATAAATATAAATAAATATATATATATATTAGGTGTTGATCTAAATTGCTTCATCCC